CTGTAGAGAGGGAGACACAATATTCAGAGTTAGATGCTGATATTTTCCTAGAATAACTGGGAATAATTGAAGAGAGAGAGAGAGTGAGTGAGAGAGAGAGAGAGAGAGAGACTCTATAAATGGCATCATGGCTGACTTGTAAATAGCTATAATAAAATCCAGAAGACAGTGGGGAAAATGCTTTCCCCAACTGAGAAAAATACTGTGAGCCTGAAGTTGAAAGTTTCAAGAACTAAGGTAAGGACAGTCTCAAATGAAAACAGTCCACCTTTACACACTCTCACTACAGGCAAAGCTGGAGTCTGCACTTGGGGAGAAAAGAACTGATCCTGGGTAGAAAGTCTCTGATCTGAGAAACTGGTGGGTAAAGACTGTGGCAAATGTGTGAATCAAATGAGAAAATGGAATTTTATGACCTAATGGAAACAAACATATCCATTGCATCCATGTGCGTGTGTGTAGAGGGTGACGGCCTAAAACCACAATTCTGATGACAGCTGCAGATGTGTGGGAGGAGAAGCCTTCTAAGGTTCTGGTCACAGAGGAGGATAATGGTAACAGCCAGCTTTCTATTTCAGTCCATGGAATGTAACTAATGTGTGCTAACAGCCTTGGTAACCTTTAAGGGGACAGATAAGGTATGGAATTTCCAAACCAGCAAGAAAGGAAAAAATCCTTTCAATTTTAACAAAGGTCAGAAGGAGGGCAAATGCAATGTAAATACTAAGAGAGAAGCAATGGAGCCAAATAGGTTGTTCATCAGAATAAATGTAAATGGTTTAAATAAACATAATCAAAAGACCTCAACTGACAGGTGAGATTTGTCAAAGGCTGCCATTTGATCCCACTTAAGTTTTGACTTAACTTTAAAAACCTTGGTTGGGACACAAGCAGGTTATAATTTGTTGACTCTGAGACATACTTTTTTTTCGAAGACATTTTAATCTTTCTTGAGATGTATCTCACCAATGTTGAGGAATTAAGTTCAATGATGTATGGTAGGTGATAAAACTATAAAAAAATTCAACAGAAGGACTAAGGGAAATTTGGAATAGTTATGGTTCTTTAAGTCTGAGAAAGAGGGGGGCAAGGGCAGGCAGAGGTACCCAGAACATTCTAAAGAACTGGCAATTTACAATTTTCTTGCCTTGGTAGAGAATATTAGTGTTTGTTTTATATTGTTCTTTAAATGGCTTGGACTCTCCCAAGTATGAAAATTATAAAACAAGCAGACTCAAGAGGTAAGGAGGTAGAAATGAACGTTTATGTCGGGAAACAGGACAGCGAGGGAAGGAGAGGGCCAGGCAAGACACTCTGTCTATTTTAGCAAGAGGAACCAGCCAGGTTTTTGGAATTTGCAGTAGAAACTTCTGCATGCTTTCCTTTTGTAAAGAAAGTTTATATACACACGAATGGATAGATAGGTAGGTAGATAGATACATAGATACATAGATAGATGACAGATACATATGGGAAGACCTAATTATTAGGAAAGGCAGAGGTGGGCAAATGACCACCAGGGTAGCCATGTAAAATGGTAAGTATTTCCCCAGCAGTTATGCCCCATTCCCTACGCAGCCAAGAGCATTTATGTCCAGTTATCCTGTTCATCTGTCTCGTCAAAGTGCGAAGTGTTTTTTCTCAATGCCCATATTAGCATGTGAGAACCACCATAACAAAATACCACGGTCTAGGTGACTTAAAATAAGATATTTATTTTTCTAAGGTTGGGCCACAAGTCCAAGGTGAAGCTGTGGCAGGGGAGGTTTTCTCTGAGGTCACCCTCCACGGCTTGTAGATGCCTGACTGGTCCTCTCGCTATCTGTTTACCTGGGCCGTCCCCCATGCAGGCGCAGCTGCTCTGGTGTTTCTGTCTGCCTTCATGTTCTCTTTTGAGCAGGACACCAGTCAGATTGGCTTAGGGACCCACCCTACCGAGGGCATTTTAACTTAGTCACCTCTTTAAATACAGCCACACTAGGAGATGCTTTGGCTTGTGAACGAGGGGAACTGAGACCCTGAGGATGCCCATTTTGGAGAAGGAAGTAGAGATCTGGCAAGGTCAGACAACTCACAAGTGAAGTCATCTCAGTGGCCAAAAAACCAGCCTGCCCAGAGTAAAACAGTCCTGTGCTTGTAAGAGTGGAGGGAAAGGGGGTTTTGTTTTGTTTTGTTTAAGAATTAAAAAATGAAAAGGAAAGCAAAAACCAACCAGAATACAGGAGGACCTGTAATCAGATTCTTCAGAGCTGAAGGCTCCATGGCACCCAGGACGATCATCAGGCTCCCTTTTAACATTTGAGCTTCAAGCAGAGAGACTGGAAATCTTGCTAAAATGCGTCAGCATCAATCCACACAGTTCCAGTCTCAGTTTTTTTTGGAGGAGCCAGGTGAAGGTTTTGAGCCAAGAAGGGTGACACCTGCTGGGCTCTGGGAGGAGGACCTGCAGGACCTGGCTCTTTTCATCCATGGTCCCCTGCTTCCCTCTGCTGGCCAGAAGTGGGAACACTGTGGACTCTGCAGAGAGTCCTACTTCTGGGAACCCATAGGTCTATCTATGGTACCCTGTCCACACACAACACCATGCATACTTTGAATGAACGGCACAGTTGACCTTCACTTGTTTTGGATACTGTGATTGGATTTTGAAACTTGCTAAAGACATTTGCATCATAAAAGACAAACTTGTTACAGTTGTCCCTTCTCAAAAATGACATTTCCCATGATCCAAAAATATGAAGGTTAGTCTTGATGACTTAACAAAACACTGATGCTTTCAAAGATTGTGAACTTACTGTACATTTAGTAAGATTTGTTTTCACCCTTACCTATATGAGAACTTGGAGAGCAGCATTTGGTTACATTTAGTACTATTTTTATTGCTTTAAAAAAAAAAAGGGGGGGGGGATCTCAAAATGTAGTCCAGACTGGCCTTGAACTTGCAAGTCTCCTACCACTGTCTCCCAAATGCTAGGATTACAGTGTGAGTACCGCACCCGACTGATAACAGGACTTGTAAAAAAAATTTTCATTTTCAAATGTGAACTTTCATCAAAACAAGACCAGTTGTTCATGCTTTGAGAAGTTTCAGTTTGTTACACACATTTGGGCAGAAGATGCTCAAAAGTAACAGAGGAGCCCCTTGAGTTGGGAAGCATTTAAGGAAATGCCAGAAGGTACCACTGTTTTCACCATGGACCCCCAGGACTCCTGGTCAGTTGTGTTGGGCAGGATGTGTCACACACACTTTGTGACCTCTGTGCCCTTTGAAATGGGTGAGCATGGGGCCTTTTTCACCAGAGCGATCATTTGAAATGCAAATCAGATCACAACACCCTTCTCTGCTTTGGCAGTGGCCAAATGTCACATATTTTTTGGGGGGGAGGGATGGTACTGGAGTTTGAATCCAGGGCTTTGAGCTTGCTAGGCAGGGGCTGTACCACTTGAACCACACTTCCAGCCCTTTCTTTCTCTGATTATTTTGAAGACAGGGTCTCGCTTTTTGCCCAGGTCATCTCTTGGACCATATCCTCCTATTTTACACCGTTGCTGGAATGATAGGTGTGTACCTCCACACCCAGCTATTTCCATTAAGATGAGGTCTCATGAACTTTTTTGCCTGGGCTGGCCTGAAACTGAGATGCTCCCAGTCTCAGCCTCCCATGTAGCTTGTGGTGACAGGTACATATGCCACCTTGCCCACCTATTGGTTGAGATGGGGTCTCATGATTCCCCCCCATCTCACCTAGGGCTGGCCTCAAACTGAAATCTTCCTAATCTCAGCCTCCCATGTAGCTAGGATTACAGGTATGAGCCACCTTGCCCAGCTGTGGCACACTTTTGATCCTAGAATGGAATACTGATTCCTTTGCAGCTTTGTAAGGCCAAGTGACCTGACTCATGCCAGCCCTCCAAGCGTGCCCTCGGTCACCTCTCCTTCCCCTTCAACGAGACCATCCCTGGAGATCTTTCTGTGTCTCTTATTTCAGCATTCTGTTTGCTTCCTTCAGAGCAGTTGTGTCAGCCTGTAATAATTTCGTCTTATTGATCTGCTGTCTGTCTCCTGTCTTAGCCATTAGGTATCATCCCTATTTAGTAAGTCTATTTTACGGTACTCCCAGAGCCTACTACTTACTTATCAATGAATGAGCGATAAGCAATTGAGCAAAGGAATGTATTGAGAGACACCAAGGTCATTCAATGCAAGGTCATAGTATGGAGTTCATTCCTTAAACAGAAGGAAGTTCTATCCCTGACCACCATGTGGGAAGCAGAGAGGGCTGTGGCTGCCATGAGACACAGTCACAGCTTTCTCTTGAACTTGCACTAGCCATTGAGACACTCCCTCCATGCTTAGGGAACATGAGGGGGGACAGTGAGGGGGTCAGCAGGACCACAGGGGCCAAGGCAGTCAGGGCAGCACAAGATGCCAGCTCACCAGGCATGGCCACTTCATCAGTGCATGGGTCCTGGCCCAGGATGCAGACATAGATACTAACATTGCCAGAAGCAGTCTGTGCTGCTTCAATGCCTTCCTCTTGAAAAGGCAGCATGGGCTCCCAGCCCTGCTCCCAGGGAAGCTACTTACTAGTTTATAAATAAAAAAGATAAGGAACCCATGTGCAGTGGGCTCCAGGACACTCTGGGGAGCACGCTAACGCCTGGCTTTCCAGAGGACCTGTTCCATGCTCCCCCTCAGACAATTGGAGCCTGAGAAGGGGAAATAAATTCAGAACTGGCACCAGTTCAGAAGCAGTGGCTTGGGGACATAGGCTGAGAGTCGTCCCCAAGAGAGGTAGAGAGGTGAAATGCTTGCTTGGCTCGAGAGAGGCTGGGTCACCCATCTTAGGCACAGTTTTCCTTCTGTGATGCACTACTGGCTTGTGGTAGGTCCTCTGTCCTTCTTTCCTGGTCCCACCACCTGTCTCTCTCTGTTGGTCCCAGCATCAACAGAGAAGGAAGTCAGCCAACATGAAATGTGTCCTTGGCAGGGCCGGTTCTTAGGGCAGGCGAATCTGGGGGTTCTTCAGGAAGTAGGCCAGTTTCTGGGCCACAGAGTCCAGTTTGCTGGAGTTAGCCGACTGCAGGAGGTTGCTTTTGGGGACAAAGTAGTGTTTTAGGAAGTGCTGGCTCACACACTTGTGTAGTTTGCGCACAAGGCGCAAAAATGCTTTGCTGAAGACCTGCCAGTCCTTGGGGTGGGGATACTTCTCACAAGTCCAAAAGAGCACGGTCTGTGGGAAGAAGGGCCATGTCAGACATAGTGTCAGGCACCAGGGAGGCTATCTTCAAAAACAAGTACTGAGTCTGTGTGGGACAATGGAGAAAAGGCACCCCGGGAAAACTGGACCCACCTCAGGTGCACCTCACTCTTCTTACCCAGCTGGCCTCCTTTGCCTTTTTTATTCTCTCACTGTTCTCTCACATTTCCAGTGACCACCACTCACCTTTCATCTCCACTTGGCACCCTCCTCTCCTCCTGTCTGCATCGGCCATTCCTCCTAGCTAGGGCTGCCCCTCCACAGGGGCAAGGACCCTGCCTTCCAAGAACTATGTGCCAAGACCACCTTCTTCCCCAGTGGTCTTTCAGCCCCTCTGAAGCTCTCCTGCTTCCCCACTCCCACGCTTACCCCCTGTTCCAACTCTTACTTCTCTGCAAACTCGGGCTCCCAAAGATTCAGCTGCATCATTTGTCAATCTTTCCTCTCCCTCCATTCATTCCCTGCTCCATCCACTCCAGTATGGATTCTCCTGCCATTAATCTGAAAAGCTGCTCTCAATAAGACCAGTGATCTCCACGCCTCTAAATCTAACAGGCCTTTTCCAACCTTTACCTCACCTGATCAGACTCTCTGTCCACACTTTCCCTCTTGAGCTGTTCTTGGCTTTCAAGTCAACCCACTCGGTGGGCCTTCTCCCAGAATTATAGCTACTCCTTCAACTGCCTCTAGCCATTGAGGTGCTAGAGGTTCCTTTCCAGGCCTCTTCTCTTCCTCCATGGCCACCCCCAGCTCTGTAACCCTCCCCCTGCAGAGGTTTCATTCTCACTGTGGGAGACTTGCAAATCCTTTCCTCCAGCCCAGATTTTCCCTCTGACCTCCTTTCCTAGATCTCTTGGATATTGGAAGGTTAACTCAGTCTCAACATGTCCAGACTGGACTCACCACCTGTTCCCACAATCCCGCTCTGCCTCCAGAGTTGCTTAGCCAGCCAGTCATGCAACATCACCCAGGAGTCATCCTTCTCCCCAACCTCCCACAACCAAGTCCCGCCCAGCCTCCTGCTTACAGGATTCTCAAACCTACCACTTAGTTTCGTCTCCACTGCAACTGTCCTCTTCCCCACCGCCCATGCCCATCGCACCCAGACCACTTCAGCAGCTGCTTATCCAGCACCCACCTATCCTATTCACCATCCAACCTGCCACCAGACGCTCTGCAGTCAATGTGACCTTTATGATACATGAATCTTCATTCCTTCTTGTGTAAATACTTCAATCTCCTCCTACATTTGTTAACTAAAAATACAATTCTTAACATGCTTTGCCCAATGAGATTTAGTCCCTGCCAACCTTTCAACAAAGATGCCAGCAAAGATATGGAATCAGGTTAGGTGCCACCGACAGATGAACACAGAGAAAATGTAGTGTATGTACACAATGGAGCTGTGTTCAGCCATAAAGAATGAAATCCTGTTGTGTGTAGCAAAACGAATGACACTGTGATAAGTGAAATAAGCCAGACACAGACAGCCAAGCACTGCATGTTCTGTCTTGTGTGTGGAAGCTAAACAACAAAGTTGAGCTGATTGTGGAGTAGTGATTGCTAGAGGTGGAGACAGGTGTGAGAAGGGGGTGGTGAGGTAAAGGAGCGTGATCAGTGCGTGTTGTATGCACAGATGGACACATCACGCTAACCTCATTGTATGTTCAATCAGTACATGTTCAGGAAAACTGAACACATACAAACACACACACACACACACACACACACACTCACGCACACACACCCCTACAAATGAAACTAGACCCCTCTCTCTCACCATGTACAAAAATCGACTAAAAATGGATCAAAGATCTAAATGTAAGACCTAAGCTGTGGAACTACTAAAGGAAAACAGGAGAAACACTTCAAGACATTGGTGCTGGCAAAGATTTTTTGGGTAAGACTCAAAATCACAGGCAGCAAAAGTAAAAACAGGCAGGTGCAGAGACAATTGACAGAGTGGACAGATGCTCTGCCAAATGGGAGAGAAACATTTGCTTGCTACACACTGGACAAAAGTTAATATTCAGAATACGCACAGAACTCAACTCGACAGCAAAAGAACAAACGATCAGGCAAAAAGTGGGCCAAATGATCCTACTAGATACTTCTCAAAAGAAGATGTGGAGGTGGCCCAAACAACATATACACACAACATATACACATGTGGGTAAATGTAAAAACGATAAAATTTAAAAAAATTTTTTTAAAGATGTAGAAATGGCTCACGAGTATATGAAAAAAAAAAGATCAGGATCAAAAATGACCAGGGAAATGCAACACAAAACCCCAAGGACACATCACCTCATCCCAGTTAGCATGGCTATTGTCAAACAGACAAAGAAAAATGCTGGGGAGGACACAGAGAAAAGGACACTATACATTGTGGACAGGAATGTAAGCTAATACAGCTACCATGGAAAACAGAAGGTTCCTCCAAAAACTTAAAATAGAACCACCTTATGATCCAGCAATCACCCAACTGGGTATATATCCAAAGGAAATCAAATAAGTACTGATAACTGAAATAAGTATTAGATAACTGAAGTCTGTGTTCACTGTAGCATTATTCACAAAAAGCAAAATAGAGAGCCAAATCTAGGTGCCCATCAACAGAAGAATGGATAAAAAAAATGTGGTGCGATGGGGGAGTGGCTCAAGTGGTAGAGAATCTGCCTGGAAAGCACGAAGCCCTAAATTCAAATCACAGTATCACCAAAAAAAAATTTAAATAAATAAAAAGAAAAGAAGACAGTGCGGTACGGGTACATAATGGAATATTATTCAGCCATGAAAAGAATGAAATCCTGTCACGTGCAGGAACCTATATTAAATGAAATAAGCCAGGAACTGAAAGATAAGCTAAAGCAGCTGCTTTCATAGAAGTAGAGAGTGCAACAGTGATTACTAGAGGTTAGGAGGGAGAGGGGACACAGGAAGTTCCAAAATATAGTTCCAAAATATAGTTAGATAGGAGGAATAAGGTCAAGTGTTCTACAGCACAAGAGGGTGACTATAGTTTAAAACAATTTATTATAGGTTTCAAAATAACTAGAAGTGTTCACAGTGTCCTCATACATAGAGGAGATAAGTGTTTGAGAAGGAAATGCTAATTACCCTGACTTATCGGGATACCTCATATGTGTGTTTCAAATCATCACCATATATTCCGTAAATACATACAAATAATATGTGTTAAGTTTTGAAAAATAAATAAATTATCACTGAATAAAAAAGGAAGAAGAGGGAGGGAAATGAAGGGAAGAAAAAGAGGAAGAGAGCAGGGAACTTGAGGAGGGGCCAGGATTTGTAGCTCATCAGTGTTGGTGATACACGTGGAACCCGAGTTTATCTGGCTCCACAATGAGCTAGAATTTGTGGAGTGGGAAATATGGATGCCATAGCCCATCCTAAATCTGTCACACACATACTAGCCTCTTCTGAGGGGCTCTGACCCACCCAACCGAGGCTATAGGACCCACCACTGCCCTGGGTCCCCTGCTTGCTGCGCCCCTCACCTGCAGGTGGTAGGAGGTGATGACCGGCCTCTTCCCAGGACACCAGACATCCTCTTTCAGCTGCCTCATGACCTGAAGACACTGCCTGCGACAACCCCCATCCTCATCCAGCTGCTCCAACAACACCTGCTCGGCCTGGGAGAAACTCAGCTGCCAGTGATAGTTGGAACGGGCCACCAAGTTGAACCCAAATGACTGAAAAAGAGAAAAAGATGAGAAGAATGAGAAGGGTGGTGCTTGCTGTGGGAGACATCAGTCCACTAGCCTGGGGACCTAAGGCCATGTGGGAACCAGAAAGACAAGGTACCATCCACTTTCTCTCCTGCAGCTGCTGTCCAGCCTTAGCCTGGGTCAGAGCCCTGGGAGGGCTTTGGATCTAGGCACATATTGCTGGACCCTGCTCAGTGTCTTCTGGTAGGGCCAGGGTGGGGTCAGGGGCTCTGCATTTCTAGCAAGCTCTAAGGTGATGCTGCCACCAGGTGGGCCCCAGGCTTCGAGAAATGCACATATAATGAACCCTCTGCTTTTCTTGAGACACTGGATGGTGGTCAGTGTCTCTGCTCTGATGAGCCAGGGGCCCCATCACTGGTACCTTGATACACTCCACTCTCTCTGGGGGAGGCCAGCGCTTCAGGCACCGAGGCCACTGGGCTTTCTCAGACCAGGCTGTGGGGATCTCCACGGTGGGGGCCAGCTCGATTTCCACCTGGCCCGAGGATGTTTCCATGACAACCCACACTGCAGCGCTGTCAGCCAGCAAGCTGACCTTGCCTGATGGGAGATGACCAAAGTGACAATGAGAAGAGAAAGCCTAGCTCGATACAAGCGGCCAAAGAAGGAATTTGTGAGCAGTTGCTCTGAGCAACTGTTGGCAGCTGGAGAAACAATTTTCACACCATGTCTGTAGCACAGCAAGAGAGGGACAGAGCCAGCAAAATCAGACAACCGTCAGCCTACCATCCACGGCTACATCTTTACTGGAAAATCTCATTGGTGGTTTTTTCTTTTTATCTCCATACTCCCATAAAGCTTTTATGGTTTTATATTTTATTTTATTATTTATTTTATGTGGTACTGGGGATTGAACCCAGGATCTTGCAACTGTTCTACATCTGAGCTACACCCCTGCTCAGCAAACTTTTATTTACATTAACAGATTCTTTTCAGAATGTTCCATGGAAGCAAAGTCATGATATAAGATGAAACAGGATGGTATTGGCAACTACAAGATGAAATCCAACCATTCTATATCCTTCTGTGTTTCATCAAAACACCTGACCGTGGTTTGAAGAATACTGCATGTGTGGCTAGGACGGCACAATTTTTTCACCTTTCACCCCAATGTCTGACATTGTTCAATGACAGCTTTGGTCCCCTCCTTATTCATGTGCCTTTGGTGGAATTCTGCTAACCTGTTTGCATCTGTGTCAGCATTTTAGACAGTGTTTATCTCTGCCATCCATCCATGGAGCCAGCCTAGCTTCTGATTTATCATCAGAAGTCCCTGTAAGCATAAAACCCTTCAAAGCATGTCACAGTCACTGCTTGAAGGGCTTGAGGAAGTGAAAAGAGGCTCCCTTGGCCTCATTTTCCCACCAGCAAAGAGAAAGAGAGTGAAAACATCTGGTGAAGCCTCCAGCTCAAATACTACACTGTCTTCATTTCTAATTTGCTCTCCCTTCTTTCAAAACACAGAAGTTTTTCTGGGTTTGCCTACATACATACATACACACATTTGGTGTTTCTTTTTGATGAGTGCCTTGAGTCAGGATCTGTTATTTTGCTTTTCCTTGCTCAGAAGGAAGTGGAAGTCTGTTCATTTTGTGTTAGGCTGCTCAAAGGAAGAAAGCATTGCTCTCCTGAGCTGGATGTCACATCAGAGTGGCCCAGACAGGAACCAGTGGAGGACTGACAGTTTAGCACCATTTATTGAAAGCACCTGGACAATCTGGCCCAACCTGATTCTTTCTCTCTCTCTCCCTCCCTCTTTCTTTTTTTTTCTTTTGGTAGGACTGGGGCTTGAACTCAGGGCTTTGTACTTGCAAAGCAAGTGCTCTACTGCTTGAGCCACACCTCCAAGTCTATTTTGCTCTGGTTATTTTGAAGATGGGGGTCTCTCAAACTATTTGCCTGAACTAGCCTCAAACCTTGCTCCTCCTGATTTCAGCCTCCTAAGTAACTAGGATTATAGGCATGAGCCTCCAGTACCTGGCTCAGCCTGGCTCTCTTTTTCACACTTTCACTAGTAATAATGTCACAAAGTGTAAGAAGTGAGCAGATGTGGACCCAGCCTGCTTCTGTAGCTCACTCCCCTTAATCTCTGTCTCAATTTTCTCATCTGTAAAACAGGCACAATAATATAGATATAGTGTTGTTATGGTGATTAAATAATGCATGCAAGTATCTTCTGAATAATAAAATTCCATGAAACATGAGCTGTGACCACTGTGGAAATTTTCAGAGTGATTTCTCAGCCCTCCAAGTAGCTAGGACAATAGGCTTAAGTCACCTTGCCAGGTCTTTAATGTACATTTCTTTCTTTTTCTTTTGGTGGTATTGGGGTTTGAACTCAGGGCCTCATGCTTGCTTGGTAGGTGCTCTAACACTTGAACCACTCCACCAGCCCCATTTCTTGAAATGTATGGTAGGTGGGAGGTTACAAGTTCAAAGTCCTGAATTGGAACTCCGATCCCAGCAAAACCAAAACAAAACAAAACAAAAAACACCGATATATACATTACATGGAGCATTTTGTTTCTTGTCCTGTGATTCTTGTTTTGGGGGGATTTTCTTATTGCTTTTTGGGGGTCATTATTTCTATTGATCAGCTTATCTTTTTTCTTATTGTTTTAGAAATAATCTTTTACATTTAAGGACCTTAGCCATTTTCGTTAGGAATTCACCTTTTTTGTTTTTTGTGAAGAAAAAGGGTGTGTGTGCAAACTGCTACAGCTTCAATTCCTGGAGCTGTCAAACTCCATCAGACCTTACAGCTGCAGATTTCGTGTTTCGGTGCAATTCATTGGCTTCCAAATGGGGAGTCTCAGCACTCTGGGATGCAGTGGCCGGCTGGTGGTGTCGCTGTGGAAATGGACTCACAGCAGTGATCTAGGGTTTATGAGTCATTTGCTGTCCTAAACAAGTGCAGAACCAAGGTTCTGGAAAGGGCACATTGCCCACAGCCTGTCATGTCTGGGCCACAAGAGTAATCTGCTCAAAGCCACAGGAGTGTTTGCTGAGTATAAATTCCAATCTCCTGTGTGTCACAGTGAAAAGAAAAGCTACTTTATACTGGGGGGATTTCTCTGGTGTGAAGAGCACAAGACTCGTGTCTCAGATGACATCTAACACACGCTCAAAGGGCAAAGGGGGACACCAACCTTGCACCTTTCCTTATGGTCTCACCTGAGAGGTGACAGGATCTAACTGCATTTTCCACCAGTTTCCGGAACACCTGGAGGACCTTGGCGGGCACGATGTCCCCTTCAATGTTTACGTCTGTCTCATGCCACTGCCACAGGGTCTTCACAAACTGCTCCACCCCCAGCCACTGCTGCAGGCCTTCCGGGTCCCGCAAGGGACAGGGGAGCCTGGTGCCCCGCAGGGTGTAGTAACGCCAGCGCCGCTCCCGGGCCTCCCTGTACCCCGCCAAGCCTTTCACTGGGACAGTGACAAGAAACTGGCTTGGGGCCAAAACCTGGGGTCAGGAGAGAGAGAAGCATGAGTTCATCGAGGAGGACAGAAGTCCCTGGGGGAGCTGGCCTGTGGAGCCAGGCAGCTCAGTTAGTCACTCAATCCTCAGCACCGTGGTGAAGTAGACAGAAAGCTAGATCTGGGTATGGCAAGAGTTACGTCTTAGTTTTTGCCACTAATCCATGGTGTGGTAGATAAGTTAACTCACTGGGTTTCTGTTTTCATGAATCCACAAGTAAAAAGAGAAAAGAAAACCTGGAGCTCTAGACAGGACCTAAGATCTGGGGGAGGAAAAAACAGGAAAGACCTGGTATCCACTGAGCTCCACCCGCAGGAAGCATGGCAGTCATGTGTCTGCCTGCTTGAGCTTTGCGGTCACTCAGTCAGCTGGGCTTTGTTGGCATTTTCCAGATGAGGGATGTAAGGCTCAGAAAGCCTAGGAGGCCTCCAGAATGATGTGCAGCCAGCAAGCCAAAGAGCCAGAATTTGAGGGGTTTTTGGGGTTTTTTTTTTTGCAGTATTGGGATTTGAACTTGGGGCTTTGTGCTTGCTAAGCAGACACTCTACCACTTAAGCCACACCTCCAGTTCTGTTTATTCTGATTATTCTGAGATAGGGTCTTGCTTTTTGCCCTGGCCAGCCTGGACCACAGTCCACCTATTTTATGTTTCCTGCTGTGGCAGAAATGGCAAGTGCACACTACCACATCCAGCCTAGCTGGTTTTCGATTAAGATGGGGTCTCATGAATTTTTTTTGCCTGGACTGGCTTCAAACTGTGATCCTCCATCTTAGCCTCCCAGGTAGCTGGGATGCCAGGCATGAGGCACTGGCACCTGGCTGATAAGGTTTTTTGATAGCTTGTTTAATGATTATTTCCCTGTCCTGGGCTGGTTCTCAATCAAGAGTGAATGACTTGCAATGGGTGAAAGTTCTGGAATGAACAAAGAGTGGGAAGGAATGGGGGCGGGGAGGGGGGAGGAGGTGACAGAATGTTCTAAGACAACACCCTTTTTGCCTCCACTGATGACCCAAGGTCAGTATTCGTGACTAACGCTTGCAAAATCAAAGGGGACATTAAAACCTAATTAGACAATGTGAGCTATTGAGAGGATTCTGAGTTTAATGAACAAACCACAAACAAACAATTAGAATCCACCTACTCCCTTTCTCCAGGAACCAGCTGAACAGAGGCCAGGGTGAAATGGGCCAGCAGTCCACAGGACAGAGCAGGTGGGTCTGCAGTACTGCCAAAGGGAACATGAACCTGGCTGCATTCACCACTGCCCACTCCACATAGCACCTTCCCTGTAGGCCAACTTTTCCTCATGGAAAGTTCTGGCAATGAAATTTGATGAACTCTTGCTCATGGCTGGTCACTATCATTAGAATCAGATTCAAAACTACCTGATTCTGCCTCACTCTCAGAGAACAATAATTGGATGAGGTCCACAGGACTCCTGGTGTCCTTGACAAAAGAGGGGGGAAAAAATCTAAACTGCAGAATTCAAGATCTGCACATTTTCTTGCATTCTCTTGCATGTGACTTCGAGAGCACAACTATCATGTTGGTAGTCACAGAGATGGTACTTACTAAGTACTTGTTGAGTTTAGTCCAAGAAAAAATTAAAGCAAGCTGAAATGTCCTCTTTTCCAAGTTTTTTTTAATATACAGGACCTAACAACTATAACACTCAAGATATATTTTTAAGCTCTAACGCTAAGTGGGATCATAGGAGGAAACTATAGATTTAGGAAAAAGTAGCATAACAATTCAATCTCTACTGAGGTCGTATTTGTTTAATTTAGGTTGGCCTGGGGAGGTAGAGGTAGACAGGGGAAGTTCTGACATTCCAGGATCTAATCCAGGTTTGCAGTCTCCATCCTAGAATGAATTTTCTGATATGTAACTCTATGTCAAAATCTGCAAGTCTCAGGATCTTATGGGTTGTCCTGTGTCTGTCAGCCTTGAGAGGCACAGCACCAGCAATGGCTTTTTGCTCTGGCACTGGTGCTTTTGCTCGTTCACGTATGCACTCACTGGAGGATGATGTGTGCCGGGTGCCAGGTGGCGTGCTGAGTGATAAGAATGAAATAATTGATAAACGTCTTTACACTTGAGAAAATTATACTCTGGCGTGAGAAGTAGGCCATGAAAGCATAGAAATTTAATAAAAAATGAATGAGATTCTTATGTAGAATGAGAAAATTGAGATAAAGAATGGTGAAGACTCAGAATGACAGAGAAGATTATTTTCTCTCATTTTTTAAAATGGAGATCACCATTGTCTTTTCCAGGAGGTTGTTAATGGGTCTGAGTGAGGTCATGACTTTGTCCACACCGCGGTGTTGCACCAATGCTGAGTGTCATGCATTGGGCCTGGTGGCCTATGCTCAGTGTGTTCAGAAAGAGGGAATGAGATGCCACTCCTGCTGTCCCTAAGGGCCACCTCCTCTACCTTCCTTCTTTCCTCACCTTCAACTCAGAGACTCTCTCTTTTTTTTTTTTTTTATGATCATAAATATTGAGTAAATGAAATTTATTTTTTTTTCATTTTTCTTTTATTATTCATATGTGCATACAAGGCTTGGTTTATTTCTCCCCCCTGCCCCCACCCCCTCCCTTACCACCCACTCCACCCCCTCCCGCTCCCCCCCTCAATACCCAGCAGAAACTATTTTGCCCTTATCTCTAATTTTGTTGTAGAGAGAGTATAAGCTTGAACTTGGTTCTTATCAGTGCTCTCATTTACCTCTACCTAGACCCTGATCAGTTTGGTCAATGCCTATTAAATGACTGTGTGCTTAGTCAAACTTTAGTCACAAAATGGCATGTGCTTGAGGATCAGAAGCCTTGGTTTTAGAGATAAATATGACCTGACCAAGACATCTGACTTCTCTAACCCAAGGTTTTTTGTTTGTTTGCTTGCTTGATTTTGGTTTGGTTTGGGTTTTGAGGCAGGATCTCATTATGTAGCCCAGGCTGACCTTGAACTCTCCTGCCTCCACCTCCCAAGTGCTGAGATTACATGTGCACCACCATGCCTGACTCTAACCTTAGTTTTATGGCCTAGGAATATGGGGCTCAAATGAGATTGCATGTCTGAAATGCAAATGTAAATGGTGAATACTGAGGGCCTGTGGAAACATGAAGTGGTACTGGTGTTCATAATAGGGTAAGCACCTGTTGTGTGCAGAGTTCCACCCATTCAAGTGTCTGGACACAGCTGGAGGGCTCCTGAGACAAGTGAGGATCGCTTACCTTAATGTGCCCATTGTATGTGCCAGAGTAAGGCACAGCTTGGAATCGAATGTCTTGGTGACTGATTTCTGTGGTCAAGCAGTGGATGACTTTTTGTACCTCCTCCACAGCCTGGGATATCTCCTGGCGCCTCAAGTCCACCTAGGTGTGAAGGAATCAGCAGTGTGGTTATTTCCTGTGCAGTCCCCAAGGCACTGGCATTAAGTGACATGACCATAAGTAGTTCCTGACCTGAGCTCAGAGCAAAAGTCCTGCCTTCTCAGGACTCTAGGGTAGATGAACTTAGATCAGACTGGGACTATGATTATTGGTAACTCAACTTTCTTTTCCAAAATAAATGCATTTGTTCAATATTACCTATTGCCTACTATTGATAGAGACTCGCCCAGGTGTTGGCGACACAGCAGTGATCAAGACAACAGTGACAGCGACACAGCAGTGATCAAGACAACAGTGAACAGGATGGAGATACTAGCCCTCTTGTTGAAAATACAAGAACAAGATGTGGGTGCGTGTATGTGTGTGTTTGTGTGTGTATAATATAATATTAGATATGGCAAGTGCAAGAGAGAATAATAAATTCGGAGAGAAGACTAGTGAATAAAGAATTGCTAGAGCAGGCAAGAAAGGATTCCCTAAAGAGGTGATATTTGAGTGACTCCTGAAGACAATTCAAAAAACCAGATCCCAAGGCCCCCAAATCAGGAGTGTACTTGACAATGACTGAGCATCAGAGAGGAGGCCAGTGTGTGTGGAGCCTGGGGAAGGAAAAGGGAAAAAATGAATTTGGAAAGTTTTGAAAGGATATCGGGCCTGGTTCAGCACGAAGGGTTTGGTGATCCATGATGAGAACAGAACGGCATAGTAACGTGTGCAGCCAGCTTGGTAAATAGTAAACAGGTTAATGTGTGTAAACATGTAGTTGCTTCCCTCTTATGTCATCAGTGAGTGAGGACCAGTGTGCTTTGTCCTTACCCCCTCCTTTTGCTTGTAGCTAAAGAAGGGCCCGCATATTATTTGTTCTGATATTGCATAGTGACTCACCAAGAACACCAAAATTCCCATAGAAAACTGAACATGAATAAGATCACTAAAGTGTAGGGAACTAGATGTCGCTAAGAAACACAAAGGACCTTTTAGTGAACTCCAAGACAGATCCAAAAATCCAAATGAAAGAAGTAGAAAGAGTCTGCAAGTTTCTTCTGAAATGGAGGAGGCTTGCGAGGCACCACCCGCAGGCACCTTTGGCCAGGGACTGATTTTAAGTAATATTTGGTCCATCACAAGGCAATTCCCACCTGTGAGTCTGTAAATTCCTTCTGGGGTTGGTATCATGGCTGTTTCTATATTTGCTAGAGTAGTTTTGGGACACCCATAAACTGCCAGAAGAAAAAGCTCTAGTGAAAGAAATTTCTGTTTCCTAAGCTAAGTCATCAATCAGTCCAGTCATGTATACATATATAGATGGAATAGAACTGTCATTCCGTACATATATGGAATACAAATGTGAGTATATACCTATTTGCAAGTGTTATTTATCCCAGTTAGTTCATCATTAAATATTTATTTAGCATTTACTGTGTGCTGCACACCACTACATTTCTGTTCATAGCAGTGAATAAGGCAACCACAACCAGGACTGGCAAAGTGGCTCAAGTGGTAGAACATCTATCTTGCAACCATGAGGCCCTGAGTTCAAGGCCCAGTACAGCCAAAAAAAGAAAGACAGCCACAACCATGCATTTGTAGTAACAGGGAAGTCAGACACAAGTGGAGAATCAGGGATGGGGATGCCATCTTGGGGAAGTATAGGGCACCACTGTGCTCAACTGTAGGTGGCCCCATCTGCAGGGTGAGATGTAGTTTATATGTATCTATGTCCACCTGGAGGACTGTCTTCAAAAAACAAGGTGATACCTTCTAGATACTTAGCACTGTACCCAGTAACAGGGAACATACGATGAGGCCCCTCACCTGGAGACCCCTAACCTGTTGGAGCCTACAATCTCACTGGAAATAAACCATATGTCTGAAATGGTTTCAAAAACCCATGTCTTACCTGACCTGGAATATGGCAATCCCATCTACACCAGCTTTAACTCCCATGTTTTTGCCACTCACCCACTCCATATCTTCAATGCCTACCTCACTACATTCTTCGTGAGAGAAGAGGCCACAGGGACCCTCCATGAACATCACTCTGCTGTGGAGGACCTGTAACTTCCACACTGGGCAAGTGGAAGAAGCTGTTCACTGAGCAGCAGGTCACTCGCCATGCCAAAGATAAAGGAAGGTGCCTTTAGAAGATTTTGATTAAGGCTGCTCACCAGGTGGATGCCATGGCTCACGCCTGTAATCCTAGCTACTTGGGAGGCTGACATTGAGGAACAGAGGTTTGAGGCCAGCCTTGGCAAATAGTTCAAGAGACCCTGCATCTCCAAAATTACCAGAGCATTCATACCTGGAGCAGCTCAAGCAGTAGAGCACCTGCTTTGCAAGTGCAAAGCCTGAGTTCAAACCCCAGTCCCACCAAAAAAAAAGGAAAAAAAGAAAGACAAAAGTGCTCGCCAGAGTAAGACTTCCCCTTACGTGTTGTGATTCAACTCATTTGATTAACTTTTGCTAAGCACCCACTTTACTGTGCTCTGTGTTGCACATCAGGAGATTTACAGAGCAGGTGACAGAGCAAGATGTACTAGAGGTTAAAATTTCCAGATTCTGGCAGTGGGGGGAGGTTTACACAGGATACTGGGGACACCCCAGAAAAGAGTCACCTCACCTGAGGGCCCTTCCTAGAGGCAGAGGGCATCTTGAAAGACCAGTAGGAGTTAGCTGGGAAGAAAAGGGTATGAAGGTTGTTCCGGAAAGAGAAAATGGCAGGTAGATAGCACAAGGAAAGAATTGCAGATGTTCCTCTGGCAGTATTGGAGCACAATGTGCCTTGGAGGGAGGTGTAAGGAGGGACAATAACATAATAATATTCCTGAAAATAAAAGAAGACTAATTTCACCAGTGCCCACAAGTATCTGAAGGGTTTCTAGCTAGAACAGGGTGGGCATTAGGAGGTAGAAGACAGGTGAATGAGGACAGAGGTAAGCAATGCTTTCAAGAAATTTGACTGTGGAAGCAAATAAAACAGCAGGGGCACAAGCAGATTTTTTCAAGATGGCACACAGACAAGTTTAAATGCTGACAGGTGTCAGTGGAGAAGGAAGAAGCTACAGAGAGCAAAACCACAGAGCAGGAATTTCCCAGATGGAAGAAAGAGTCATGCAAATCCTAAAGACTGGGCAAGGAATTCACAGGGGTGTGTCAGGAGGAAAAAAAAAAGGTGCAGAGATACACGGGAAAGGGGAGGGTATGCTGAGAATGGAAGAGATTTCCGGCCTGAAGTCTGCTTCCTAGGCTGGCACTCAACCACTTGAACCACACCCCCAGCTGAGTCTACTCGCTACAGGGTAGGAGACAAGGCCATGTGTTAGAAGTGGAGAGGTGGCTCCACTTCCCAAGGAATGAGGGACTGTTCGTGCATGTGTGCAAAGATGGCCAGGCAGTGGGAAACTGCCACCATGGCTCATCCTATGAGGGGTGGGATACAAGGGGACTCAGTTGTGAGATATTCCCCAGCACCTCTCAGCCCTCCAAATACAAGCTGAGGGGCTGAGGCTGGAGTAGGTGGGAGCTGAAGACATAGAAACAGGGTAGGGGAGCAGTAGTGGGCTGTAGTTTCCAGCTTGAATAGGGAATGGATAAAGCCAGATTCGTAGATCATGAAGCATTAAGTTTAAGAACTAAACTCTGATCAGTTACAATGGGAAAAAATAATACAAGAAAATTATGAGTAACAAAAGATAAAACACAAGATGTTGCAACTAGCTAGAACACCACAATCAGAGTGGTCAGGAAAGAGGATGCTCTTCTAGTTAATTCTCGGAAGGTGTGTGGGGACCAAGGTTCACTTCCCAAATCCTTTAAGTCCACTGTGTGATTCCACAGTTTGAATGTGAGTAAGACAGTGTTGACATATATATATATATATATATATGTCACCTGAATTAATATATTTTGTTTCCTGAATTAATAAACTAAGGAAAGAGAGAGAGACTGTGCTCATACATACTTCATGAGTAGCTTACTGGAAACAAATTCTTCATAGTAAATCACTTCTACAAATTGAGCTTCATTTGATGGTGAACTTTTACCTATGGACAGAACAAGACCATACCCATCCTGGAAGACACCTATACTCTCTCATTATCCAGGGTGATTAACTCATCTTTCTGGCCTGTTTTGATTTACAAAGGTGAAAGTCAGAATCAGAGAATGCTTTTTGGGACCTAAACTACAAATTCCAGCTCTGATGTTCTTCCAGCACTTTTGACTCAGGATCTTAGTCTTGGAAGAAAGAGAGCTCAGAAATCATCTTGTCTGGTATCACTTAATAGAGGGCCAGAGCAACAGATGGCTTTCCTAATGTCACAGCTGCAGTTAGGATAGAAGTAGACCAAATGTCCAGGTTCCCTAACTTCAGATTCATCACACGGCCTACATGCTCAAGAATAGCAACTCTGGAAGTAACACCTAAACTTTATCCTCTTTCTGAACCTAAAAATGCCTCCAATTTGGAGTCAAGGCTTATGAAATAGTGATTCCAAAGTCTCCATTGATTTGGGCATAACAACTGTTGTGGCATCCTACAGGGACACCAGGGTAATACAGCAGGGGCTGGACAGTGATACCAGGCATGGACCAGAGCTCATGGCAGACAGACCCATGCCATGGACAAGTCTGTCCCCACAGTGCCTGAGCCACAGAATCTGTGTGAAGCCTCTTTCCCACTAGGTAAAGGGCAGCCCTTTTCCTCCCTACCTCTCTGGCCACACTTGCTGCCACAGACTCTCACCTCTAGGGGTCACGGAGTGATGCTCTGTGCCGGGGGTTCCCCAGCTCAGTCCCATGAGCCTTTTATTACTCACATGGTGTAAAGCTAAGCTAGGACCTCCCCCACCTCAACTGTTGCCCTGCACTTATCCTGAACTTGGAAGAGGCAGAACAAGGAGATTCCATTTCAGAGTGTGGAAAAGTAGAATGGGTCCAAAGGCAGCTTCTAGAGAGTAAGTTTGGTAAAAGGTGGACACGACCACAAGCAGAGATACCTCCAAACTCAATCCCTTTGCTTCTCAAAGTTCAGGAAGCAAGAAAGACATTCGATGAAGCCTTGAGGTAGCCTTGTCACCAAACTGCTTTCAGGGAAAGAAAAGCTAAAATAAACTTATGAGGAAAGTAGGATCATTTAAAAAAATGAACTCAAAGCATAATTCAATCCAAACTTGACCTCAGATGCCTCTCCAAGTTTCACTTTCCTGCTCTGCTGATTAAATCAAGGAACAAAGGTACATTCTTCTTTTGAAAAGACTGCCTTTGTAGATGTGACAGAACAAAGGCAGAAATGAATAGAATTAAACTAACCAGGCACACAATGCTGGATGTTTTCAGATCATCCAGTCCTCCTGTCACACTGACCCTAGCAAAGACAGGCTCTGGTGTCATCACTGTGCGTGGCCTCCCTCTCTCCAGGCATGTCTACGTGCCTGGACACATGCACGCCTCCCATCCCAGGCTACCTTCCCCTCCTCCTTCCAACCACAGTCTCTGGGCTGTTATCTCACAAGGATCTTAGAGACTATTAACAGCTCTGGATTGTGAATAATTGACCGTTTCAAATATAAATTATTGGGAATTCAAAATTGTTCTCTATAATAACATCACTCTGACTCACTTCCATTGCGACATACTTCCTGGAGAGAGATGAGGGGTGCTAAGCAAGCATATCACATGTGACATGCCTGGTCACATCCCAGGCAGGTGGTCTGCGTGAGCATCGTTAAGATGAGTGTGAAGAGGAAAAACAGCAGAGAGCTTCCTTCTAGAAAACAAGAAGTGAGGTCTTCATTCTGGAATTGTCTTAAATCCAATAATTGGGCAAGATAAAGCAAACAAGCACCTTCTCCGTTGTACTGTTTGAAAAGATGAAGTCTTAATTCAGTGATAGATTCATCACAGAGAGAGGGGCTTCTGCCATTGCCTCCCTATCTCCTCAGACTAAGTCTTCTGTGAACCAAATGTTTGGGCTGCACAGGGCGTTTGCACCACTGGAATCCAACTGAAGCTGTCCAGCTGCAGCAGCAGGGAGCTCAGATTTTGAGTCCTTGCTGGGTGATGGACATGTCACAAGATCAGACTCACCTGAGCATCACAGCAATCCTTTACTGTGGATACACTGATAGATCTCATCCTACAGATGAGGAAACCAAAGCTCAGAAAGTATAAACAACTTGCCCAGGGTCTCAGGGTTAGTGAGTTACAGAACAGGCAGGATCATTCCAAAGCCAGTACGTGGAACCACTGCCCTGTTCTACCTCTCCAAATAAAAGGCAACTGAGAGCAAAACCCACGCCAGATGTGTGGCTGGGGCTCCCTGCACCAGGAAGACCTCTCCTGTACCTCTCCACTCACTGAAACTTCACACATTCTCCAAGCCTTCATCTTCTCTCCTTTCTTCCTTCCTTTCTTCCTTCCTTCCTTCCTTCCTTTTTAGCAGTGCTGGGGTTTGAACTCAGGGCTTCACACTTGCTAGGCAGGCACTCTACCATTCGAGCCACTCTTTTAGCCCTTTATGTACTGGTTAGTTTGGAAATAGACTCTTGCTTTTTGCCCATGTAGGTTGGTTCCATTATCCTCCTAATTTATGTTTCCCACCACAGCTGGGATGATAGGTGCATTACCACACCACCCAGCCACTGGTTGACCTGGGCTCTGTGACCTTTTTACCCAGGCTAGCCTCGAACCGCGATTCTCCCAATCTCTGCCTCCCAAGTAGCTAGGATTACAGGTGCGAGCTAGTCTCTCCTTTCTGTGGAATGCTTCTTCAAGTAGAGCTGGCTTTCTCCAGTACTCTGCAACCCTGGCATCTGCCATGTGTTTGTCACAATAAGTATTTGCCTGCTGCATACAAAACTTTCTACAGAGCAAAATCTTGAGACAAATACAGAATTTCTTTCCGATTTCACTGCCACGTTGCAGGCCTTGGGCTCCCTCAAACTGCAGCATGGGGTCTGACACAAAACAGGTGTCTGCAGAGATCCAGAGGGCTTTAGCAGAGGAAATATGGCCTGTGGAGTAAAAAGACTGACTCGAGGCCTTGGCACCTTCACCATTTAGCTAAGGGACTTTGGACAAGTCATGTCATCTCCACAAGCCTAATTTGTCCTCTGTAAAAATTGAGCTGACACCCACATCACATGGTTGTTGACTAGATTAAAGGAGGTGCTATTTGTGTCTCAACCTTCCAGCACCTCCTATACCAGTCTTGCTTTATCTTCAATGAATCCTTAAGATATTTCTGGCCAGATACTCTGGAAAGGTCAAGATATCCAAGTTTCTTCCCCTCAGAAACTTGTAAAGACTAAAACAATATAATATTTAAGTCACCAACCAAAGTAACAGTAGGAAAAGTGTCAGGAGACATTTCAATTCAACAGACAGTGAGTTGTGCTGTAAGCAGGGTCAGCCTAACTACATGGCAACTCCAGGACAATATAAACCACCAAAAGCCAGCTTTGAGCTGTGGCATTGGGAATTCGTTCTTGAGTAAGTGGACTCTGAGCTAAATGTAGAAGATAAAGATGAGCCAGAAAAGTGGAGAGGAGTTCAGGCCTGAGACCTGCTCAGAGCGGTTTTTGTGGGGCAGAAGTGGCGACTCAGGGATGGAGTATAAGACACACAGGATCAAGAGAGAGAGAAAATGCAAGGGGGGGAAGGGAGTCGTCAGACCCTGGAGGGCACAGCCTGCTGAAAAGATAGATATCTGGATTTTTAGACAAAATCTCACTGTTTTGAAATGTTTATAATTTTTTTTTAAATTAGAAAATGCTGTGCAGGTCAAACAAAAACGTGTGCATGGGTTGGATTCCACCTAAGAAGCACTGTTTAGAATTTCTGTTGTTGGAAATGAAGAGAAGCAGAGGGTTGAAGGATAGAGCAACTGAAGATACATGAAGACTAAGGTAAAAAATTTAGAGGTTTTTTCCTTATAGAAAGTACAGGGTCATGGGAAGACGCCCAACATCCCCTTCCTGTTGAGAGCACCTGAAAAGAGGAATAATGGGAAATTGCTTTGTTTAAGATACTTGTTGTCATCATAGTTTTCCTTATTGACTTCTTTTGATGGTTTTACCTAAGTACACTTCTCACAGTGATGAGGATCAAGGCTAGGACCCTGGGGACTAAGCCCGTGCTTAAACCTTTTAGTTTAAACATTAACACTGTACCTTACTAGTGTGTGAAAATGGAAAGGCTTAAATTAGGTAATAGTTAAAGGTCTCTTCAATTCTAACATTCTAAGACACTAGGACTAGACACAGAAGAAATTAAATTAGTTCATAATTGATGTATACTAAAAACAAAATGGTATTTCTTTTTAAACTAGCAGTTTTAGAGTTCCTAAAGAGCACTGGCCTAACTTCATTTGCTTTTTTTCAATGACCCTATTAAGACACTGATATTGTCACTCCCATTTTATGGGGAAGAAAGCTGAGGTTCAGGCAGTTTAAGCGACTTGCTCACACAAGTCTTGGTGACAGAGCTGGAGTCCTGATGCCTCTGGTCACTAGAACCTCAGAGACAAGTCTGAGATACGTCAAGCCCCTAATCGCATATGTGTGTGATGGTCCTTGGTTCCAGGGGGGCATTTACGTATCTTTACAAGTAGGAAAATCCTTTCTGGATCAATGATAGTGGGAAGGGTGGAGGTGAGGAGGGCGTACACAGGAGGGGTCAGCTCCTGCCCTTACCTTGTTCAGCAGGCACTCTTCTATGTCTCCCTCAGTAAGGGATTTCATGGCTTCTTGCTCAATCCTAACCACAGCAGCAACTTCTTGGGGGCTTTCACAATGGAGGACGACACTCGTGGACAGCTTTCCAAATATTGTTCCTCTCAGGATGAAATTTCTCTGGAAATGTGTACATGGGCCAGAAGCTTGGCTTCTCAACTCTTCACGCAATTTCTTTTTCCCAGATTGTGAGAATCCATCTGTCAACTTTTGGAATTAAGACAAATTAAAAAGGAGAGTTGATGAAAATGAATTCAGGTCCACTCTACAGTTACCCTTTTTAATGACTTGTGCTTTGACCAGAGGACAGTTGTCCAAGTGGCATTTCTGACCCAAATTCTTAAAAGTTCCATTCAAGACAGAAAGGCCTGTCATTGGTATCTCCCCTCCTTTCTGTTCTGGTCCTGGCATTAGATTCACCTCAGAGCTCAGGGTCTTTGTAGCTCCTGTCTTTATCCTATTGACAGTAAATATCCCTCGTCCTCCTGTCCAGAGAGTCCTGAAGATTGCTCTCACTTCTTTACAATAAATAGGAAATTGCCCAACAACCAGCCTAGCATTCATCATTACACCTCCAAACAAGTGATCAGGTCTTGTCGATCACATCAGAACTCAACAGCTGGCGTTGGAAGAGCCCGCACACTTGTCTACACAGACACACAATCCACAGAGAAGAGTACTGACACACAGGCACACACACAGAGGTGGCAGAGATCCTGCCACTCACCTGCTGACCTTGGAACGTAATTCCCCTCTTCTCACTTGAAAGCTGGCATTAAAAATAAAGTCAGTGTAAACAGTCCCTTCAAGAGGAGAGGAAATACTTGCATCTGGTTTTGCCAGTAACACTCATGTTGGAAAACAACTCAGGCAGTAAGTTCCTAGTCTGACTGGCTGGGGCTAGTTTTACTACAGAAAAAAAAAAATTTACAATGACCTGATCTCCCTGAAGCTGATAACATCACAGCCCGCTATCAGATGATCTAAAGAAATGACAGCAGGGTCCAGAGCCCAGCTCGTATCTGAGCTAGTCTTCCCAAACATGCCTCTGAGCAGAGCAGTGAGGGTGCCAGGCCACGCCCTGCTTTCCCTGGCCCTGAATTTGCATGCTACCCCAGGAGAAAGCCACAGACAGCTCCCTGGCAGCTTTGGGCTCCACCCAACCCCTGGTAATCCAGGCCTCCAGCCTGGCTTCTATGGAACCACAGTCTGATGTAAATTTTGGCCCACTACAGCCTATCCAGCGACCCTCTGGCAGACTTTCCACCTGCTTCTATATGTTACTGTAATCCCCTACTTCTCCTATTAAATGTTTCCAAATATCCCAGAATCCTATTCCCCTGTCTTCTCTTAGCATTGGTCCTCATGCCAAAATATCATATCAATTGTTCACAGAAGGAACATGAACTCACACTGAGCCTGCCTTATAGGATTCTCTCTCCCCCTCATTTTCAACTCTACCAAAGTCCCCACTCTTATTTGTGACCTCACTTCTGCTTTCTCTGAAAGCACGACCTTGGGAATCCTTTTCCTCTGGTGGTGACTTTCCTAACAAACTAAGGTTAGCCCAGGTTCTTGGCATCCTAGGCACAAACTTTCACCATGTTTGTACCTGTGGTACCCTATCTTGGTTGCTCCTGTACTGCAGTTGATCAAAATATTATATCTGGAATCTTCTCTTGTCCTAAGATCCAAAGATGCTTGCCAGATGTTAGCAGGGAAAACAAAGAGCTGAGCCACTAAGGATGCTGGGAGAAGCAAAAAGCTGCATATACTCAGGCAACTGCTTACAGCCTGGTTTCACCAGGATGCACGTCCCGGAAACAAATGTATGAACACAGCTTGGTTTCTTACTGTATGATCCAGTTCTTACAGGCAAAGGTTCCACGACACAGGCAGTCCCACCAACGTAGGCTGAACTGTCAGCTCCTAGCAGACAGGCTGGTGACAACAAACTCTTGATAGATACAGATCTCTGACTAATTGGATAATGAATCAGCAAAAATCAATTGAGTAACAGTGTGTCAAAGGCACTGAACTAGGCCACTGAAGGACCTCAAAGTTATATCCTCATTTCTTATCAAAAATAAGCCAACACCAGTGGTTCACACCTGTAATCCTAGCTACTCAGAGGCAGAGATCAGGAGGATAGCAGTTCGAAACCAACCCAGGCAAATAGTTCTTGAGACCCTATCTCAAAAAAATCCAACACAAAAACAGGGCTGATGGAGTGGTTCAAGTGTAGGCCCTGAGTTCAAACCCCAGTACTGCCAAAACAAAACAAAAAAGCAAGCATAAAAATGTAAACCAGCTTTGGCTCAATTTCAATTGTCAGGACTGAGAAGTTATTATTAAAAACTAACTTAAGAAGATATTCAGAATCTTCTATGAACCCAACCCTCAACATGAGTCCTAGGAAGATCACACTAGCCCGAGTTCACCAGAAGACCTGTTCTTATTGATTTATTTAAGGGAAGAGATTTTATGTCAAAAAGGAGAAAGATTGGCTTCATTCAAGTCAACTTTAAATATACAAATTTGTTCAAGGGAGCCAGGGTTACAAATTCTGACATAGTCCAGATTTCCTTGACTCCAGGAATGACTCAAATCCAATAATAGTGACCCCACAATAGAGAACAACCTGAGGCAGGAGCCATATTTATTCAGTGTTTCCAGTGACACTCAGTATCTAACACACAACTGACCCTCACTAATGCTATCAGATATGAAAATGGTGTACAATAAATGATCCCAGTTTAGACTGGAGGAAAAGAGAATATCTAGCTCTGAGTCCATCCATCTAGAATAAATAAAATATTTTAAGATGCATAAAGTCATTTCCTAAATTAAAAATTGAATTACACACATGCACCTGTGACCCCTTAAATTATCATGTTCTTTTATAGAAAGGCTTGATATAAAAGAACTTAGTGTAGAATGTGGTTCATGATATAACTTCAGCAAATACTTGTCTTCATAATGCTTAATTTACTGAAGAAAAGGCTCTTCTTATAATGTATGTAATTGATTCTTCTTCTGTGGATAAAATCTTGCAATGGGTCGTTTGTTATAGTTCCATCAGAAAGGGTGTCTGATGGACTGGTAGAGTGGCTCAAGCAGTAGAGTGTCTGCCTAGTAAGCATGAGGCCCTGAGTTCAAACACAAGTACCACCAAAAAAAGAAAGAAAAGAAAGAAAAACAACAACAAATAGCAACTGAGATACTTTGAAATTCATCTTTTGTCTAGGGTCAGAGGTAAGGGACCCAAACTCAACTGCTTACAAGGGTCAGGCAGTTCAAAAAATAAATCAGAAAGGGTAGAACAATGGAAAGAGGTAGTGTCAGGGTGGTTTCAAGATCATAGGCCCTACCTGGGCTGGCTTCAAACCAGGATCCTCCTGATCTCTGCCTTCTGAGTAGCTAGGATTACGGATGTGAGCCAGTGGTACCTGAGTGCTGTAAGCTTCTTGAAGGAAACGATTTGTCTTCTTGGAAGAAGTATTTGACCTACAGCAGGTGCTCAATAAAAGAATGAGTAAATGAATGCCTGCATGAGCATATGAATAAGTAAGAGTGGCCCAGTCTAAACCCATCCTACCTAGAGGCATAAGAAAGTGAGAAAAGAAAAAAAAAAAAAGAAGAAAAACAAGAAGAGAGTAACACTAAGCTCTCATTGGTTCATTTCAGGACACGATTAACAAACAGAAAGGAAATAGGGGACCGTCCCCTGGAAAAGCTAACTTAGACTCAGAAAGAGCAAAACCACAGGATAAAATGTGCTTGCACCTGAAGGAAGCCACTATTCACAGCCCAAAGTTGTCAGGAATGCTGACAATCTGCACAACAATTAGAACAGGCCACAGTGGGTGCCAAAAATTCACCTGTGTTTGTAAAGTCAAGGCTGTATGTAACCACTTCAATAAAAGTTCACTGTTTCCTAGGCACAATGGCTGTTCCAGCATATCCAGAAAGAAGAGTAGCCTTCCTATATCTTCCTAGCTTTCTAGGCAGCATAGCTGATCTGGCTTAGTTATAAAAGTCATATGTAATAAATGATCCTTAGTTCAGCCTGGGGGAGGGAGGATGTCTAGATCTGTTTCTGTCTGTCCATGTGTCCATCCATCTGTATTTTGTGCACTAGAATAGTATTTTGAATCCTCCTCATTCAACTGACTGAATAATTCAACATCCCAGAATCTTATTTTTAATAGAGACCAGTTGTCAATGTAATGAAACTGCTGTTACAGCTTGGATGGTACTCTATTTTCAAATCAAACAGCAAAAGGCGTTCCTGCTTTCATATCTCAAATGCTTCCTGAAGTCAGGGTGCCAACCCCTTCTTTCTGCCCATTGCCACGTGAAGTTTGTCTACTTTTGTCACCAAGTGAGAGTCAGGAAGGTATTTCAGGAAGCAGACATTTGGCTTTAGGAATGTGTTAGACCATGAAGCTAACTAACTGTCTCCGTTCCTGAGACATCTGAGTTAGGAGGTGGCCAAAAACATACAGCTGCAGGAAATAATTGTTGCTCATCCTTGGGCACTATGCAGGGGAAGCCCCTCCCCAGCTGTGTTGTTCATGACACATTTGTTCAATTGTTTAGTAAAAAGAGACCCAGGGTGAAGAGACAGACAGAGGTAAATGGAACAAAATAGAAAGTCCAGTAATAGATTTATACAAATACAGCCATTTGATTTTTGACAAAGTGCCAATATAACTTACTTAAGAAAAGGTACTTTTTTCATATTATAAAGCTCAAATCTTATGTAAAGATGAATTAAAGTGGATCCTATGCCTTAATGAAGCATATAAAACTCTAAAGGTTTTAGAAGAAAATATAGTGCAAATCTTTGTAATTCAGGGTTAGGCAAAGAGTTCTCAGAAATGACATTAAATAGGCAGTCCATAGAAGAAAAAAATATATTAACTGGGACTTTGTCGAAATATTTTTGTTCTTTCAAAGACATTGACATGAGAATAAAAAGACAAGAAAGAGACCAAGAGATCATATTTGAAAACTAAATATCCAACAAAGGATTTGTCTCCAGAATATTAAAAGAAGCCCCAGCTGGGTACCCATGGCTCACACCCAAAAGCCTAGCTACTCAGAAGGCAGAGATCAGGAGGATCACAGCTTGAAGCCAGCCTGGGCAAATAGTTCAGAATATCTTATCTTGAAAAAACTAT